GTTGCTTCCGCTTGTGAAAAGTTCTGTTCAAGTCTTGGCTATTGAACAGCGAAAATCGCAGGTCTCTATCTCATTCCTATCAAAAGTTATTCAAAAAATGCCCACGGGTCTTGTACTTTGGGATGGATTTGGGTAGTTCAAAAATACGCATTTTTCAGTGAGTTAAAGCTTCTCGCATTGTTTGTCTTTATGCTGCTATTTCGAATATAATTTGTTTTTTGTTCGAATGATACGTGAAATACATGAACACAGAGATAATGAGATATTTACAATTTTGAAAAAGATATAATTAACCATTTAGCATTTGAGTTTTTACCGCATTTTCACCCTTCAGATCTGGTATCCCGATCTCCACAGGTGATGTGCCTTGTCCAGAAGGTTAAAACGTATAAATCTACAGACATATGTCGATGGTGGTGTGTCTTAAAAATTTATTGTTTTTCATAAGCAAACGCTGAGTTTTTAACCTGTATTTTTTTTATTAGTTTAACCTGTAAATTGATAGTTGATCTGTCTTTTCATATGTTCGTTCCATCATTAGAACAAACGAGCACAAAAAAGTTATCTTTGATAGATTTTCGAAGATTATTTTTATGAGTGTTGCTACTTTTCATTTTAGGTCGAGATCGAGCCAAACAAGAACTGGCACAATTGAAGTTAACAGAAACAGTCCTTGATCAATTTTCCGCTGAAACTGGTTTAAATACATCAAGAAAAGCTCAGTCGGCAAAAAATCGTCGATTAATACAATCTCAAGTACTTTTGATTATACCATTTTTTGCAAGCAGTTCTGACAGCATTTCTCTAACATAAACATCCTAAAACATGGTATACATTTTTGAAAGACTATTTTGATAATATCAATCATGATTGAGAGGAGTCTTGAGAAATTTTACAGCTAACTAATTGAGAGAAAATACATCCTATATAACTAACTCCTTCTCTTTCAGCCTGCAACATTTCGTGCTCGTTCTCGTAGTATTGAATCTGCTAGGATGTCCGTCCGATCATTAAATATCCCTGGTGATACAATGAATAATGCTGAAAGGGGCGATAATAATCAACAGGATATGAATCCTGTTATTTTGTCCAAATTACTAGACGGGTAAAATAAATAATTACTTTAATACATATTAGCTAAAATTGTTTGCTTTTTCTCTACTTTTAGTTCTGCATTATCGCAAGCGTTGACATCAATGACTGCTTTGAGTAAAATCTCATCAGCTCGGAACAAGAAAAGTGCTGATATTTTAGATAAACATGCCGACTTTTTTGTTCAACCCGATGAAAACGTGCATCAGCCACGATTAGTCAAACGAAATCAAACTAATTCAAGCCTGAAACAGAATTTAAAATTCTATAATCCTCCACCGAAATCAAAACAACGTCCACAAAGTGCTCAAGCAAAGTTGCGTGCAACAAATTTAGATAAAGATACGTTACAGCAAAAACCGGAGGATCCATTAACATTAAGGTAATATTAGAACTGGTATTGTATTTGTATTGAAAGTATCATTAACTTTTGAATGATATATACTTTCAGTATACGACGAATAAGGCAAGTGTTTTTTTAACCGCTCTGTAGAATTATCACCACTGTATTATAGAAACTTCTTCATCACACATGAATTAATCTTATTCATTCTACTCATCTATTTAACTACTAAAAAAATTATATAAAAACGAATCAAGACATATACAATTACGCTTAACCTATAGCTCAAGATATTTATACTCACGGCGTCAGCTATGTGATCTTAGTCTGTTTTTTCGTTCAAAATCCGCAAATTTATTATGTCAAAATTTTACATGATTTATTTATGCATATATCATCAAAATGTCTACTGTACATTAACTGCTCCTGTATCTATTTTATAGGGAACAATTAATGAAAAGTCTTGAACTACGTCAAAGTGTTGAGGCAAAAATCAAAACTGCAAAAGATTCGAATTCAGCGAACTTTATAAGGTGCATATTCTACTTTGGTTTCTATTTTTATTCATTCTTTAAAAGAATTTGTTTCTTGTTTTCTAGCAAACGATCAGATGCTACACTTAAACGATTTTCGTTATCGGAGTAAGTGATAATATTTCCACTGTTACTGTTATTCTAGTATTGAAATTATTTATTATATTCCATTTGTCATTTTAGACAAGAACGACTGAAATATGTCAAATTCATGAGAGAAGTCACCGATGCTATATTACGAAAAAATTTAACAACGGAAAATGCCATCGAGAAATTATTTGAAATACATATTGATAGAAATAAAACAACTCTAGATGAAGTAAGCGATCTTCAAAATGAATTTGAAAGATCTTCATCTATTGATATGGATTATATTAGACAGTATTTAAACCATTCTTTAGAAACGAATGCGTGAACTGCTACAAGCATTGAAAGATGATCTTGGCGTATCAACTTTATCGAACGGTAATCTCTTTTTTTCCTCTAAATTCAGCTTAGAATGACACAGACAGACTTTTGCATAAAACGAACTATGAGTCACATGTATCATTCATTTATGCATATGTAGAATAGAGCCTGGGCTCATCTTTTAATGTAGTGTTTCATAATGCTGCAGCAAAATAATGTGATAAGCATTGTTAAGTTTATATTGATTTGAGTTGTTTTTTTATAGGAACCGGCGTTTATTCATCGGTACATAAAGCAACGAGCTATGATAATGATCCAATTGAGAAGCCTCCCGTGAAAGACAGTATTTACAACGATAACACTCCGTTATCGCCTTATACGAATGGTGAAAGACGTCGCTCTTCGTATGATTTGAACACCCCATTACCATGGCAAACACCGTCAGAAATGCATATTTCTCCAAAAATAACGACTGAGACCATTCGTCGATCAACGATGAAGAAATCAACTCTAAATGATCTAGTTGACGAAGATGAAGAGTATTCTGAACCCATACTAGACGGAAGAAATTTACGAAAAACGTCGACAGTGGCAATACTGGATGAATATAATTCAACACCAGAACATGTCGTTAAACATGTGAATCATCAACATCCAACAACAGATTCGAATAATTTGGATACATTTACAATAATGTCATCACCTCCTCCTCAAACTAAAAAACGTTTATCGTTGCAACAGCATCAGTCAGTTTCACCGACTGTTCAAAATTGCGTGGATAATGAAACTGGTATCCAATTTTCATCAGCAGAAGATTATAATACAACGAAACAAGATTCAAAAAGAAATAAAACACCCGTTATCTTGGAACAAACTTCTGATTTTACTAAGCATAATCAACATGGTATGTAAGGTCCACTATACAGGATGCCCCAAAACTTACTATTTAATAAAAAATGTCGGAGTTTTAGCATTCTTAAACTGATTCGAATAGTTTGTTTTATAAATGTTAGAAGACTGTTCAAATTTACTATTTATTTTAAAAAGTCTGCTTTAGCATACCTCTTCAGAAAGAAATCCAATAATATATATTCGAATAACTTGGAGTCTATGAAATTATTTAAACTCTACCAATCTAACAGCATTAAATTTCCTTTAAAGATGTTCGAACAGTACGGCACTCTACTTTATATAAAACGAATGAAACTTTTTACTAGTTTCTTTAGAAACTAATCAGTTCGATTGAGAAATGGTGGAGTTCTGCCGTTTTTGGCTTCATGGTGAATTTTGGAACAGCTTGTAGAGTAAAAATGCTGCTGCTACTTTCTTGTTAATGGAACTGAACATGCCATAAGTCTATAAAAACATACCAATTCGGCATTGATTATAAAACTTCAATAACGCTTAGGATAACAATGTTGAACATCGAAGTATTCACGTCTTAAATTGTAATTACTTAGTATATGTAAACAACCAGTTCTGACATTTTCGAAATATAAAGTGTACATAAAGTTGTTTAGCTGATCATTTTTTTTTCTCAGAGACTACTGTGGAAAAACCGTTTCCGGCTGAAGAATTCATTCGCAATGATGATGATCAATTTAAATTCAATAAAACTATCAGACGTGCAAGTAAACCCGATTTACACAACACGAGTTGGCTAGCGGACGACCAGCTTCCCTCCAAAACAACAGTAACAACAGTGGAAAGTCATAATTATGAGCCTTTTCCAAATCATTCAGTCAATCGTTTTACAACAGACAAGTTAGATCCATTAAATACTGTTAAAAAACACTCGAGAGAAGACGCTCCTCCACCTTATCACGAACATGCACAACAATTGGATAAAACAGGTAGATTTATTTTCAGAAATTCGCATTATTCAGTCAAGATTTTAATTTCTTTATCAATGTACAATAAAATACATTGGCAATAACAGCAAAAAGATCATAGATAGAAGTTAGAATAAATATTATTACCATACGATAAATTTGAAAGAAATATTAATCTATGAAGAGCCTAAGACTGCATCTTTTCATTTCAGTTCATCGGGAAGAAAGTGAACCGGCTCAACAACATGTTCATCCTGTCCAACGTACACTAAGTGATACATCACGAAAACATTCTACTGCTTATGATAGCGACAATTTTGATGATTCAAATAGTCAGACAGAGTCCGATACAATTCAATCACAGAAACACCAGAAAATGAAAACTAAAACATACCATGAACAAGATAATGAATATGATGAATTTTTATAAAACATTCAAGGATTTCATTTCGTATATCATTGTTCTCTTTTATCTCTGTATTGGCTTATTTTAATGTCAGTAAATATTTTGTGTGATATTTTTATTTTTTACTCTATAACGTTGAATTTTTTTCATTCATCAAGTCAAAATTTATTTGTAGTAGGGGCCTAATTTTCAAATAGTAACATAGAGGCTCTATGTTTAATTGTGTATGTTACAATTTGAAAAGTTTCCACTTAACAAAAAATTATGCAGTTTCGCTGTCGATGATAGTTTATTATGAAAGAAGACGACAATTTAGATTCATTTTCACCACATGTGTATTAATGTTCCCGTCCAGTTTCTCAATATTGTAAAACTGTTTATATCAACTGTGTACAAAGGATTCGCTAAATTATGTCAATTTGTTAAAAAAAAAACTGAACTATATCACATTGCATAAAAGGAAGAATATGATGAAGACAATGGGTGGGGGAGTTTACCAACATCTACTAGTAAATGATGAAAGAAAATTTGTCACTTTTTTACATTTAGTGTATATATTCATTTTTAATTACTACTTTCGGAAACTATAACTAAATACTTCGATGAATGATAATATGAACACTAGAAAGAATAACACATATTGAACAATTTTATATGATAAGAATAGAAAAGAAAACAATATTTTTTATGAGTCCGCCCTATTAATTCACCGTTATATCAGTTGAATTAGAACTATAAACGGTTCAGTGAACATGATCACGTTCATTCTGTATGTGCTTTGCATCATAGAACATGAAAATTGATGACTGTCCAACGACATCTGATGTTTTATATTTCTTTTTTCGTTTTCTTGTTATAGTAAATAATATGTCCTACAACTTTTTGAGGATACAACACTTAATATATACGCTCGATATCGAGCAACAACGGTGATGATAATGATGATGGTTGTTGCCGCAAGCTAAGAAACTCATAGTCTATTGTCCATCAAATTTTAATTGTTTGTTATTTGACAATATCTATTCAACATCTTTTGTTTCTCTATGCTTTTCTACCTTTCTGTGTGTGCGTGCGTGTGTGTGTGCATTAGACTTCAATAATTTTTTGCCTATTTTTATTCACTGTTGAATCAAAAACTAAAATTAGTGACAAATAAAAAGTTATAAATACGCATACATCACATCGCATCGTGATCTATCAAATAATTATTACTCGTTGTCGTCTAGTTGTCTTCAAAATTCGTTGATGTATTGCAAACAAAACAAAATATGATGAGAAAAATATGAGACATAAATCTTTCATCGCCTTTTATGAGGGTCATCTATCGCCGTTGTCGTCTCACCTCAAGCTCGTTGGTATTATTTACATTATATTAATATTTTGAAATTTGATATAATACAAAAGAAGGAGAAGAAAAGTCAATTTGTGTTTTTGTTTCTCACGTATTATATTAAAAATATATAATGACTTATTATTTTACTATAAATATTCTATGTTATCAGACAATATTAATTAGTTAATAAAAATGTATCGATGTATAATTCCTCCACGTGTGTGGTTATCAATTGGATTAGGCCTTCTAATATTCGGTTTAGTTTTGGGATGGATTTCGTTGGCCGTACCTGATTGGCTTCAATATCATGAAAGTAAAAATTTGAATCAAGGTGCATCAGATGATATGAGAAAATTTGGACTTTGGAATAATTGTACATTCAATACGCGATTAAATGATTATGACTGTTCATCGTGGAACGGAAATGCACCAAGTAAGTTTCACAAGTACCGTGAATTCTAAAATAGTTCAAATACTACATATTATGGTTTTTCCACATCGGTTACATAAAAATTATCGATAAATGTCAAAAATTAATATCATTCACCCTTGTATTAGACAAATTCTCTAGTACATGTGACCTGATTCTTAACAAATAAATTGTTGAACGTATTGTAGAATGTAAAAATCTGGAAAAACTATCATTTTTTCACATGATCACAAAATGGTCCGACAGTAACATATGTTAAACTGTGTTTTACAAAGGCGTCAAATTATTATCATAGATGGATTAGACTAACTATTAACCATATAAACTACAACAAGAGAAAAAGTTTGAAAGATTTTTCAAAATGAATTTTCAATTAAAAGTTGTCAACTTTTAAAACTCAAAAAAACGTTTTACATATTTGTACCAGGACATTTTTTGAGTCCACCATTCGAAAGACCATAAAAACCTGAACTACATCAATGTATTTTGAAGTGATGATAAAAAACTTTTGCATTGATATCAAACAAAATAATCAACAGGTTTATAGAAATTCTTTTGTGAAATCTTTTAAAACTTAGAGAGTCGCATTCAATCCAAATTTTAAAACTTTCTCGATCATCTAATACAAAAGAGCATATTTCACTCTAGAAAATATGTATTTTAATATAATGAATAATGTATTTTATATACGAACGAGGAGTCTCCACTGACTTTTTTTAAACTTTTTATTTAAAATTTGAATAACTATTCCCAGCAAATCCGTTAAAAAAAAGGTGCTCTTTATTTAAATCATTCAATTGAGTTTTAAAAAGTTTACAACCTTTTTAAAATTCATTTTGAAAAATCTTTCAAACTTTTTCTCTTGTAGTTTATATGATTAATAGTTAGTCTAATCCATCTATGATAATAATTTGACGCCTTTGTAAAACACAGTTTAACATATGTTACTGTCGGACCATTTTGTAATCATGTGAAAAAATGATAGTTTTTCCAGATTTTTACATTCTACAATACGTTCAACAATTTATTTGTTAAGAATCAGGTCACATGTACTAGAGAATTTGTCTAATACAAGGGTGAATGATATTAATTTTTGACGTTTATCGATAATTTTTATGTAACCGATGTGGAAAAACCATAATATGTAGTATTTGAACAGATTTACAATTTACTTTATTGCGCGATTGGTGTCCATAGAAGGATATAGACGTCGTTTAAGCTATTAGTTATGTGAATTACAATATACGAAGCTTTAGTCGATGGATGCATTACAAATTTTTTCAAGATCGATGTATTACAACATTATGATAAAACTTTTTTTTCACAGGTTTTGTACGTGTTACTCAATCTCTAATTCCAATTGGTCTAATATTAGGAACAGTATCATTATTAGCAGCATGCATCGCTTTTACCTCTCGTAAAGTATTTAATGCGAGTGCGTTGTTTGCTGCTCTATTTTCATTTTTATGCTGTGAGTATCTGTCTTTCATGCACACATAGACCATCGCACCAATGTTTAGTTTATCCATCTCTTTAGTTGCGTTTGTAATAATCGGTGTCACTGTATTTGCTACAGAATCGTTAGCATTTACCGAACGATTCCATACAAATTCAAATTCACGTCGATATGGCATGTGGCTAATGATACCATGTTTAATATTCTCATTTATAGCTGCACTATGTTTTGTTGTTGCTGCTATTTTAAATTGGTATGATTATAGGAGCATGAAAGTAACTGGGATATTAAATCATAGTGCGGATAAATTTGGCAGTGTACTTAAAACACCATCGGATAGGTAAAATAAAGACTATTTGTTTGGTTGTTTTATCTGTATTTTCTACATATTTTCTTAAAGTAATATGACTGCTCTCAAACATCAACAGCAACAATTAGTTCAAGCAAAGCCGCTAATGCTCCCCCATCAATATCCTGATACGTGTTATCAACCTGGTGCTTTGCCAAGCTATCCACCACCGAGTTATGTGCCACAATTAAATGGTGCTATTAATCCAGCATTCCATCGTGGACTATATGGTTATTCTCGACCGCCAAGTCCTAATGCAAATCTTATGTTTAATGTATGTCGAAAACACTTCTGAAATCAGTCTGAACTCTTGACTATTCTTGTATTTTAGCTCGATTTGAATCATCATCGGCATTACATGACTGAGGTAGATTTATTGATTAACCAAATTGCGTTAATGATACTTTAAAAATATTTGCATTTTTTTAAATAGAATTCTGATCTTGAAGAAATTCCAAAAATTAATCGGTCAAGAAAACGGTCTCGATCTCGTCGTCATTCTACTCATCGTTCGAGATCACATAGTCCACGTGAAAATAACAACAATGGAAATAACCATAATCGTCCTCAATACATTCCTATTCCCATACCCTATTATCAACCGCAACAGCAACAAGCGCAATCTTCACATAACACAACAGCTCAACAACAACAGCCACCGATGCCTTACGTTATTCAAGCATCAAATCAGAAACAACCAACCCAATACATCGAAGAAATAGCACAGACAATTCCTCAATCAAGAATTTTAACAGAGGTATGACCTATTCACGTACCATTCAAACCAAGTTACGTAAGGGGAACATATGGACCATATTAATAATTTTAGGCAAAAGGCAATGTTCTTACTTATCCCGCATTGACAAACGGTCCATTATTGATGAATGGAAATCCAATTCAACTCACTAATTGTGGACAAACTCAACAACCCGTTTATGCTATATCGTATCGTACGAATAATTCATCTATGATTCCTTCAAATGGTCAGCAAATAGCAATAACTACGGGTCCACCAGCGACACCCTACGTAACAACGGCTGTTAATCCTTCAAGAGGTATGTATGCGTATTCACAAACAAATACTGAACAAATTATAGAAATAACATCCGAAGATGAAGAAAATACAATACAACAAACACAACAACAAGTGGGTGTACCAGCCAGAAGGAGAGATCAAAACAAAGTATGCCATAATCAACTATTTTCTTGTATTTTAAGAGATTTTATCAAAATAAGCACTATAGAACAACTATACCTGCTGTTTTTGCTAAATTTGAAACAGAATGTCAGTAGTAGCTTCCTTCTGTACCATGCGAACTCACTGTATATTCGAACAAGAAAAATAAGTATAGAAAGAAAATATGTCCCATCTATATCACTTAACTTGTACAAGTTTTTCATTCTCAGATTCTATGAAATTGTCACTAGTGATAGTATCAGTCAAGTGTTACCGTTACTGTGCGATATTTTCGTAAAGAATCTTTTAGAATGTTATTTAATATGTCTGTTATTTTTTTAGTCAATTAATGAAGCATGGACATGGCGAAAATTATAAAATCCTCAGATGTACAATTTTACCCTTATTAGACAATCTAAGCCACCAATATTTCCTTTGCGGAGCAGAAACTGATCTCCTATATAATAAAATAATAACGTGTTTGAAGATAAGAATATATATTGTACCTCTAGAACTATAGAGAAAACTCTAATCAGCTGATATACCAAGAAGAGCAGAAGACGGTACAGAACTGTTCTGTTTTTTTTCTTACATAGTATTTTCTTTCATTTATTTTGGGTTCTCTGTTATCTGTATTTGTTACGTTTGTTCTCTTTTCTTCAGAGCATATTATATAAAAATGCGTTCTATTAAGAGAACAGGAAGAAGTCCGATCCGCTACAGGTCGTTTATGTAGAGGATAGCGAACAGTTCTTTCTAAATTTATTTTATATCATTAACTGATGATGATATAGGATGTACATGTAAGTACATCTCTCTTTGTTCCGACAATAAATTAGAACGATGTTGTTGCATAAGCGAAGAAGTCAGAGGAAAGAGAATGAAAAAAAGATGGCACTAAAGTAACGCACATCCTTTCTTGATAAACAACTCTTGGATCTAAAAATTTGCCTGGAGAGGTGAAGGTTCTATTAGTCTTCAGCGAATAACGTATATAATAACAAATAATTATTGAGCAATATCCAGTATATTGAACGAATATTATTTTGAGGTAACTAATTATAAATATCATTGATTTTAGCTAGTTATTAGCGTGTATTTTTCTATCCTATTTTTGCCAAGTTTAGCCACTGTATGTGATTCCACAATCTAATCTTATAATGTAATGTATCTTATAATGCAATGTAATCTTATGGAAGTACATACACACAGCTCTACCACAACATTACACATTTTGTTCTCCTTATTTGAAAATCTGTAATACGAGAACTGTAGTTCGTGTTTGTTTCAACAAAAATGAATAAATAAAATTTATACAATAGCATGCCAGTGCGAGAGGTTAAACACAGAAGATATTTACAGTTTTATTCTTACTGAAAGTAGATAATAAAAAGCGCCCCACACCAAATACAGACTTTAAACTACCTTTTTTTGATTCTCTTTGTATTATTCTTTAGTTCGTCCAATTATTTGTTAGATAGAGAGGTGTTAGTTATTTACTGTTTTTATTATTGAGTACCACGAAGTCTATTTCGATAGCTAAATGCATATTTTCGCCTTGCATTAACCAAACAGTCGTAGCAAAATACTTTGTATACTTCAATGATATCTAACGTAAACGCGTAAAGGAAACCCAACTTCGCCAGTGACATGTTCAACGGAAGATGATGTCTTTCTGTCGCATTTAATGTTGAGTAATTGTTGCCTGAAGAATCCCGATCTAGTTCGTGAAGCCCCATGACATTTTTCTGCCAGGGAGGATCTCTGCCCTAGTCCACTTTTCCTGGAAAAATCCCCAAGGAATCATCTAACAGACTCTCCAGGGAGTCCCTAGGGATTTCTCAGGGAGTTCCCAAAAACAAATAGATGCTGAATTTGACTCCTGTGCTCAATTTTAAGCGTAATTTAGGTTTCTTTTCATCCATTTTTTATCATATTGAAATTTAGTTTTTGTAAGAATAACTTCCACTTTCTCCCCCAAATTCTTTCTCGTCTGAGCCATCTCAGTGAACCTCGCCCAGTGGACGACTCACCCGGCTGAAAAGGTAACTAACGTCGAAACGACGAGTTAACGCCGACGAGTTTCAGGCGGAAGCCGCTACACTTATCTAAAAAAGGAGATGTTTCTGTTTGAATTTTCACATTTTATATACTTCTTCAGCCGTAAAAGCAAACGATGGATATGTTGTACATTCTTCCTAAAAAATCCCTGCAGAGTCATGGGTGACTCTGTAGGAATTTCATTATTTCTCTCCACTGCGTGAAAATCGGGGAGTCAACAGAATTTTACAGGGAATCCTCGAGAACTTCCAAGGGATTTCACGTTATTTCGGGGATTCACCGGAGACTAAGAACGGTTAGAAAAGTGAATATCTTTGTTTTCCATCGGAGACATCATCTAGAGATTGTTGGAAAACCTTGTGAAAAGAAATGGTTTGAGCTTATTTTAGAGAAGATTGGGAGATATAGCTTAAGTAAGACTGAGACGTGCGGTCGTTGCCTGCTATATCCCTTTAACCATAAAACCACGTCAGATTTCATTTTTTTTATTGTAAAACCATTTCATAACATCCCCAAAAAGATTGTGACGGTATATGGTGCTATATTCCTTTTCGAGGTAGTCATTTCAGACCTGTCGTTTCAACTGAACGGTTTTAGTTTTGGTTATCCTTTTTCTTTCGAAAGCCAGTGCCGTAAACAGGAGGTCAATTTTGGGAGTGTAAAAAAATTTTAATGCTTCGCGCATGCAAAAATTTTTCTGGGGGATGTAAGAAAAGTTTATTTTGCCGTGCGAGGAAAAAAAATGAAAACAATTTTTAATTTCCACTGGCAGAAAACGACAACTTTTTATTTGATAGGTGTATAAATACACTCGTGCGTACACCCAAAAGTTAAGATAATATTATTTTTCTGATAAGGGCCTTACGTGCTAGGTTTTCTCAGTTTTTTTCAAATAAATTTTAATGCAAAATAGACGATAACCTATCGTTCCATTCATTTCTGAGGTAACCCGAGCTATATAAAACTAAAAGAAAACCAAGTATAATCATGGCAGATGCAGAGTTTAGATTTGTATAAATGTGTAGAGAACATCACAGAATAACATTTACGCGTAGAAAACATGAAAAAACGTATGATAACACCTGTTTTTTGGAAAAAATCTTGAGACACTTTATTCTTAGGAAATATTTTCGGTTCGAATTTTACATAGAGAGATGTGCTCATGCATGGAACTGGTATGAAAAGGTATATATATAACTGTTGATCACTTCTGTGGTAAAAACGCTGATCCTCTTCGGCGTGTAGCGTCTGTCATAGCCGGCGACATCTTCAAAAACCATGGCTGAGGCGCTACGAACATTTTTCCCGAAGGGCTAGGATTCCTTTATCAATAGGTTTGGGACTATCAGAAATGTATGAAAACATAGCTTATCAACTATGCTGAATCTCGTGGCAATTAGGCATGCACCGAGTAACTGACTAAGGATGTTATGTTTTTTCATAAACCTGGCGTTCGTAAGTTGCTTCGTTAAAAATTTTCTGACTCGGTAAGAATATAGAGCAAACATTTCTCTACAAAATGAGAGGTTGTACAGCTTTTAAGGTTTTGGTAGCGATACCTCAAGAATACATAATCGAGTAGTAAACGAGTACTCGACGAGTATTCAGTTAGTTCTTTATGGGATATGGCTGCTGAAATCTCAAAGCAAAGCACACAGAGTTGTCTAACCTCTCATTTTGTGGAGAAATGTTTGCTCTATATTCTTACTAAGTCAGAAAATTTTCAACGAAGCAACTTACGAAACCCCAGATTTTTGAAAAAATATAAAAATCCTTAGTCAATTACTCGGTGCATGCCCGATGGCAATGTCCGGTTTTTGAAAAAGATTTTAGAATCTAGCAAAACCTAAGTTTTACAAAAAACCTAGTATTTTCCGTCTATTTTCAACTAATATTAAAAAATTCATAACTCACTTAAAATACATCAGAACCAGTTGAAAACTTTAGGATGTGGTTAGTTTTGTCCGTTAAATGTCATTATGGAAGCGAGTAATTCTAAAGAGCAATATTTGTTAAACAGTTTTCTAGCAGCCTTTGCAGAAAACCACAGAGTTCTCTAGATTCTCTTTTGAAGATTTTTTTATACGTAGAATATAAAGTAGTTCAGATACTGTACATCCTAAAGCGACTTTAAAAGAGTCGCTAAAATACGGCTAAATGGGAACCGACTTCAGTGTCTTCCATGCGACTTAGGAGTAGACGGATGGATGTGACCACTACAGGTAGTCACATCGCATGATGTGTCTTCAAAATAGGCGCAATTGTGCAACTAAACGGGAACCGACTTCCATGTCGTCCTAGAAGTCGCATTTTTTTTTACAGTGCAGCTGAAAACAGCCGGAAAAGACTAGTTTTTATAAAACTTAGGTTTCGCTAGATTCTAAAACCTTTTTCTAAAAGCAGACATTGCCATGAGACTCAGCATATTAGTTGATAAGCTATGTTTTCATACATTTCTGATAGTCCCAAGCCTATTGATAACCCTTCGAGAAAAATGTTCATAGTGCCTCAACCATGGTTTTTGAAGATGTCGCTTAATTCCAGCTTCTTAGTAGAGACTTTGGATTATCCATCTATGCAAAAATATTAATAAATTGCTATTTGAATTTAAGTAAATCCAAGCCAGTTTTTCTAAGGTTCTCTGGAAAACGGCCTTCCGAAATTTTTCCGAAAACCGATTTTGTTTGTGCAAAGGTAGCTTCAGGTGTCTAGTTTCAAAAACTGAAAACCATAAGGAAAACCTTCAGTTTCCTCTGAGTTATTCAACAAATGGCCACCTGCATGATATTCTGGAATGGATAATAATATAAAATATCTCACAGCTCACGTCTGCGCCGTTACTAAGATGTGAGGGCATTTTATTTAAGAGAATATTATAAGCTAGATTATTACTTTAATCAATTATATCTGTATGTGGATGCAAAACTAAATCTCATAAGCGTTTGTTTATATGCTGACATTTCTTTTTCTTTTGCGCTGTTTGACTATTATCTATCACCTAAACTTCTAAAAGAACATAATTACTTATCTAAACTACGAATAAACTAACTAATCGATCCTCAGTAATATTTTTGATCGTTAAATAATATAGCTAGTCCGAAAGGATCAAAAGGACCATAGTCATTTTTACATGATATTTGAATGCTGTCCTCAATTTATTCTCCGAAAGCTCCTAATGACAATTGAAACTGTCATGTCCTTGCTTCGTGCGTAAAAGCTCAGTGCGCATTATTTGAGTTTTCTTATTCTCAAGATTCCCCATGCGTGGCATTGTTAGTGGGGTATCAATTTTTCTGATCACCAGATTTATTTATTGCGCAATGATCACCAGAAAATAAGACTTTTGATCACCCGATCAATTAAAGAAAACATATACAAGAAGAATATATATAGAGTACTTCGGGGTAATCAGAGGCACTCTTCGAAAGTTTCGTCCTTTTTTTGCTATTTCTTGGCCGTTTTTGATCGAAAAAAGTTGCTATTGAACATGATGGTAGACCAAACATTTTTCTATACGCTCATGTAAAAACCTTTTCAAAAACTCCGGCCAATTTTGAGCAGATCCAAAATACGAAGAGCTCCATCAAAGTGCCTCTAATTACCCCGTACGGGGTAAATAGAGACACTTCACTTATACGCTTGGGGTAAATAGAGGCAATCCATTCAAATACATAGAGTTTTAATGTACAATTGCTGGTTAATTAAGCTTAGGAGATAATTAGTTCAAAAATACCTCATTTTGTAGCCCAGATCTTCCTCTCTCTACCATATAGTTTTGAGTTCATTATCATTTAAACTCATTAAGCTAATTAGCATAACACCAAATTATCCGACATATGTCTCTTCTGCATGAAACATACAATACGATATGAAAATATACTTTACAGGATAAAGTCGCGTTATAAATGTAAGAAGTCAACTACATCTTCCATTGCATGCACAACTTGCTCTAATGAAACCTGTCTATATTGTTCTGCTAACCAACGTCCATTCGTCTGCACATTCTGCACAATTAGACGTTATACCAACGACACAATCCTTTTTGATTAATTAGTACATACAATACATAGCTGGTTTTTTGTTCTTAACACTAAACTTGTTTCAATTACTGTTGTATATGAAAAATAGGTGCAATATCATTGCTTTGGGATCTGATGGCAATTTTCTGTTGATATCGTATTATATGTTTCATTCAGAAGAGACATATGTCGGATAATTTGGTGTTATGCTAATTAGCTTAATGAGTTTAAATGATAAGGAACTCAAAACTATATGGTAGAGAGAGGAAGATCTGGGCTACATAATTAACTTTGTTGTCGTTATTGGAGCATTTGGATGATCTTGAACTAATGATGACTTAATGTATGTTTGTGATAATCTGCATTTAACATATTTTGACACGGATTTTCGAATGGGTGATGGTAAATGCGTTGTTGAATTGCGTTCTTCTTGTTCGTATTCATGTTCATTTCTGCACATGACCGTCACTGATTGCTTATTACCATCCGGCACGATTATCTGAATTTCAAAGAACAAAAAGGATACTTTCTATACTCCCTCCATTTGAACGAATATTTTGTATGATTTTTTAAATCTGATCGACGATATTGGCAAACATTAAACTGTAATTTTGCGTATTCTTTTGTTTCATCGGATGATATAGTTGTGTGTAATACTTTCCATTCTTACTTCGACATTTTTTTGATGGTATCGTCTATTCGTACTTCATATTTCTGTTCATACTTCTTCTTGTATATATTTTCTTTAATTGATTTGGTGATCAAAAGTCTTATTTTTTGGTGATTAAAACACACTTATCTCTTGTTAGTGCGCATCGTTCTTTTATATATGGGCAAAACCAACGTTGCGGACGTGACGTTCATAAACTCCAAGTTACTATATATCTGAAGTGTTAAGCTTTCTAGTGATGCTATTTATATCAGAAACGTGTATCAAGTTGCTAACGATGCTACGAAAAAATGAGTTCTGAGGATACTTGTTAAGATTATCTTTCTCGCGAAAAACTATGTCGTTGCGGACGTGACCGAAAAAGACAAACATTTTCAGTGCATGTACTCTAAAAAACATAGGTTTATTACGAAACCTAAAAGGATATAGAGAATTTCGAAACCATTTCGAAACCATTTTAGGTTTTGTATGCATATGGAGTCGAAACAGATTTAGCTGAATTTTTTGCAGACGAGTTGAAGAAAAATCTTTTTTGAAAGTTACTTATAAGCAAGAGGACATGACTAATTCAAAACTATCTCTGCTCAGGTCTTTTTCGTTACCGAGATAAGAGACATTATTTCCTAAAAACTGACTCTTATTTATTGCTCCGAAGGCAAGAGTTTTTCATTAAATTGATTACTTAGGCAGCTGTAACTTTATGCTTAGATTCTCTGACAGCAGTAATTTTGTAAAAACGTCTTCCATGGGTGGAGAAACCGTGCACATTTTGGACTTTTTCCATTTTTAACCATGTCGGACTTCTGATTTTTTCACGATTTCTACCAATGAAAACTAAGCTCGCACCCAGCAACATGTCTCTATACTGTACTCGAGTTACTTACGGATATTTTATTCATAAAGGTATGATTATAAGTGGCCGGCAGAAAAGTAGTTATTTTACGGATAATGCCTCCTATCTCGGTAATGGAAAAGACCTGAGCAGAGATAGTTTTGAATTGGTCATGTCCTTTTGCCCATAAGTAACTTGCAAAAAAGATTTTTCTTCAACTCGTCGGCAAAAAAACTCCAGCCAAATCTATTTCGACTCGATATGGAATCCCTTTTCGGATTCGTGATAAATCTATCTTTTTTAGAGAGTACGAACTGGCTTTTTTAATGTTCACATTCTACTACATCCAGTCGTCTTATTTTTGAAAAACTCATAGCGTCGAGCTTAAGACCTATGCTCTTTCAAATGATCCATTCAGAGTATTTTTTAAAGATTTCCAGAAGGGTTTTCCAGAAAACTTGAGGTTTTGGGTTAGGTTTTCCGGGGAAAATTGCCAGGGCTATATCGATAACTTTTGAATAAACAAACAACAACAGCATTAGCAGAGGTACAGTATTAAGAAAAAATTTTAATTGTCTGCTTTTGTCCTGAAAATAAAATTGAAATTTTAAAATGTTTCAATCTAAGACATTTTTTTACTTTATCTATGATGAATGGTTTATTTAAACAAAATGCTAGAAATATTCTGTAATAAACACTTTGTATGTGAATATAGGCCTAGATGAATAGAGTTAATTTGCTAAAGTGTGATGGTGGTTTTCTAGAAAACTCACTTAGCTTCCCACGGGTTTTAAAAGATCCCATTATAGCTAATGATAGTATACATGGTGTACTCCAACAGCGTAATAGAGAGTGAGAGATCCGCCATATTTTCCGGAAGAATCGTTCTCCGAAATGTACAGATCGACGATTTGGACTCTTGCGGCACCACCTACTGTAATAAAAGTATCTGAAAATATTTTTATAACTAAATACTAACCCGTCTGATGGTCACACCCGCTCGGTTTCAAGCCTATCGCTACAAAATAGAGAAAGTATAAATCTATTTCAAGTTCAAACTTTATTCCAAAAAAATAGCTAAGTTCATTCTTTTCTATAATCAATGATACGTTTTTTACAACTTCAAACGTTTTAAGCTGAGGCAGTAAATTGCTCATAGACAAAATCTCAAACTTAATTTGCTATTATTTCTTATCTATAGTCAACAGTAATCGGATAATCATCGTTAAAAATATAAAAACGTTTAGTTATAATATTTATTACTTATTGTTAATTTCTAAAGTCGTCATTATTATTCGTAATGATTAGTTATAACTTACGGCGTTTACTATGTCCTCTAGCAATCGTTATATTATTCTCATTTCTAATCGTTATGAAGTTATTCAATAACACACTTAATTCTCATCAATTACCATTAGCAGAAATTGTTGCAATTTCTCCGCCGCCATTAACCTTTGAACAGCTTGAAGCATCCATAGAAAATTTACTCGATCCGCAGTCATCGTCAAAATCTCATCAACATTCTTGGAATAATCTAATGTCATTATGGAAATATAAATTGTCAATATTTATGAGAGATTCATGTCAATTATGTGACGCAAATCGAACGGAATGTTATGAAACAGTAAATATCGATAAATACGTATCATCAGTGAATGACACATACTATCCACGAATTCCTATACCTTATGTAAACGGTATTGGACTTTATTATTATTTCGATATGCAATTAAAAGCTTTAAATAATTCCATTTTGTCAGTCGATACAACTCAATGTGATTATTTTCATATGATACAACTCATGATCAATATTCAAATCATACTCTATGATGCAAATATCAAACATTTTTTAACAAAAGGTACACTAATTGGCACGCTAAGACATCATGACGTGATTCCATGGGATACCGACATTGATTTGTTTATACCAGCCTATACGACGAAAAAATTATTAAAAATGTTTCATCTTTTGGATGTACGATTCACCACTACAGTATTACCGTCGACATCATATACAAACGATTTAATTATTTACCCGTTTCGAAATATTTATCGTGTAACATCGTATAAAATATTTTCATCAAGATCGAAACAAGTCAATGGGACAAAATATCGTTGGCCTAAGATAGATCTCTTCCCCTATTACGAAAACAAAACACATTTATCTGCATATCCAAAACATCGACATAATTTAGGTAAACTTTTATTATATTTAACAGATTGCCTGAGAGTTTCGAAGCACCATGTTCACACTCTTTTCGCCATAACTCTTTTCCATGTGAATTTCACATAAGATGGTAGTCCACTCTAATCTATTTTATTTGACATTTAAAAACTAGAGATTTTTTTCTTATCAATATAAATGGATGCCTTAGAAAAGAAACGTCTAAAATATGCTATGATCAGTATTAAACTACGTCAGAAAAACAGAATATTTTGAACACAGACATCTAGTCACTAAATAAAGTGGAAAAAAAACTTTGAATAGTGTTTAATACGTAAAAAACTTACAGACGAAGTTTGTCCACTGACATTCAAAACGTACGATACAATAATTAATTCAAAAATAAAATATGTAGTTAAAGAATTGAATAGAAAGAAGTTTAACTTTTCTTCTGTCAAAAGTGGGTCATAATCTAATGTGAAATTCATATGGGAAAAGAGGTATGGCGAAAAGAGCATGAACATGGTGTCTCTAGACTTTTTATAGTTTCCAAGTGTCTGAGAACATCATGTCAATTGTCTTTTTAAGTCTTAGCTTGATCTTTGCAACCGTTACATAGTGTTAATTAATGTTGCTAATATTTTTGAACTTATGTACAATTCGTTTCTTTCCCTTTAGGCACAATGGATTACATTTTAAAATCGAAAGTCTATCCAACATATCTAAGACCATTGGGACCACTTCTAGTCCCAAGTCCATATGATCCTAAAGTATCGTTAAAAGCTATGGTAAAATTGGGCTCAAATATCTTTTATGCGTGCGAAGGTAATACGTTTTTACATCGTGAAAATCGTAGATCAACGGAAACATGGCGTTTACCGTGTAAAGAATTGCGAGATTCTTATCCGTTAGTGAACAGTCAATATGATCAACATCGAAACATATGTACAGAAACGTTATTATATCAAAAAAAAGTATTATCAATGTTCAAATATAAATGTAAAGAAAATTTAAATAGGACATTGTGATTGTTGTTAATGGTTTATCTTTTTTGTTGTTGCTTTCTTATAATAGTCAATTAGGATTAGCGTTCAATGATGGAATATCAATAATATCAAATAGTTTGATGAAACTACAGCGATAAAGTGCACAGTATTGGTTTCCTTGCTATCTGTCATTAGGATATGAACAGTAAAGATTTTTATTTATGATGAACTATCAACAAGTCTTACGAGTTGACAATTTTTTGAAAAATCAGAATTTTTGTGCAGAAGTTCGACATGGTGAAATAAAACGAGTTGGTAGACGTTTATTCTCTGTAGCTCGAATGTTCGCTTTCGAATTTTTAAACGTGTTTCGTGACTAAGAATGTTCGGTTCTCGGTTCCGGAACCAAAGTCGCGATTCCGGTTCTCGAGTTAGAATCAAATCAAAACGAATCGCGTTCTTGATTCTCAGTTTCGAATCGGAAAAGAATTTTTTTTTCCGGCAGTAACGATTTGATGAAATAGAATTCATTTTATCTGAGAACGAAAAGTAATTTTTATGTCGTATAAAAGAAGTTGCACAGAAGTGTATCTTATGAACACTAGACCTAACTTCTCGAAATATAACTGTACGTGTGGTTAAAAAAGTCTTGGCTCCGAAGAAGGAACCGTCTGAGGAATCGTTGTTCCGATTCCCGATGAAAATAAGAAAAATACGGCTCTAGTTCTTGATAGAAATCGAGAATCCTATTCGTAAACTCCTGTGCTTCTAAATATTTTTCAAATTAAAAAATTTCAAGCTTTTACTTTTTCCAGGAAAGAGTTTCAAGCCTCGAAACGCATACAGAAATTGAGCATCATCTCCGTTCTTCTCGGGAAACTCTCAAACTCTCGCAATTTTCCCTGTCATCCAGCCTACAAAACTATTGAAACATACAAGAATGAATTTTGCAAACTATATACTGTGTGTGTTTTTCGTCTATGTAAATGTAGCTGACGATGATTACAGTAGTAATCGAAAGCTTCTGTTTTAAGGCCCACCACCCACTCAGAAAAATTCGGTCAAAAAATCGGTTTTGAGATACGTACGTGAAAAGATAGCCTGAAGTGTCTGCTTCCAGAATCTGTATTGCTTTTGGTTACAAAAATGTTTTTTTCGGGGATTTGAGCAAGTTTTCTAAGAGCCTCGAAAAACCGGGTCGTCAAATAATAGTTTTTTCCTGGATACTTAAGCAATTAAAATTTTTTTTAACATACAGCTTTGTAGAGGAAACGTGTCTGATCCAAATAGGACCTCGCACAATTCTGTATGACCTTGCATCAAAAAGTTACAGGCATTTTTCTAGAAGTCCTAAAATCGAGTATTTCATACAGCGTTTAATACAGTGTTTTCTCTATATAAGAGTTACACCTAAAGTGCGTCCCAAGATTGTAAACTGGAAGATAACAGATTAAAGCGTAAGCTAAGTAAGAAGCTTCCTAAAGCTCTGGACTAGAGAAGAGTAATACTGAAGAGACTGTCTAGACCACCATAAGGCAGTTCAAAAGATTGAAGAATACCAGACGATCAACATGGTGAATGTTCAACCTTATAAAAGCGATGAACTTTGCAAAGACGGTCATAAGTCATTATTGTATAAAACGTATCATTATCGCCTTCGTACGCGTAAAGTTGATGGCACTGAAACGTGAGGTTGTACTGAGTAAGTTGTCTGCTTAATATTGCTTCTCTTCTGTTGTTGAAAATGAAATAATCCATGCTAAGTACCAATATTTGCGTGGATGTATAGATTTTTAAGAGTATTTTAATGTTGCTAGAAAACCATGTTATAGAATTTTGTGCAGTTTGCCAGATGGTCTTTTAAGCAACGAAGTTTCGGATACAGAAGCTTGAATATGTATTTTGTTTATATTCTTTACCATCACAAAATCACTACGTGTTAGCATCTATTGCATCTAGTGGCTATTTGTTCTCCTTCGAGAGTGTACTGTTTAAAAATGTTCTATTTTAAGAATAAGTTTATAAATTATTCTCATTCGAGAGTGCAGCAGCTGAATATGTTCTCGTTTGAGATAGATTATAAAATATTGTTCTCCTTCAAGAATGCACAGTTTCAGATTGTTCTCAATCGAGCTGGCGTCTGTTGAACTCATACAATTAATCTTGTCGTTGATAAAATTATTATCAACAAACAATGTTGAGATGAATTTTGCCTAATGAGTTAGAAAACAGGGATATGGGATTTTATCTATGATGAAGTCGATTCTCAAACTTAACAGGCAAGTCCATTTTTGTTCTTCTTGATACTTCTCGTGCTCTAGATAGTGGAAAAAATTGGACATGAATTCTAATTTTCCATTAACCATGTTAGAGTAGAAAGAATCGCAAAAATCTGCATCGGAGTTTGGAATCGTATACTGTTATTTGAGACTTTAGCTAACCGTTTCTACGATGGAATGGAGATGAAAAATAGAAAGATAATTCTGATAGATTGACTATATCGAAACGGTTTTACGATTCGCTCTGATGCTGTCAGACTGGTTCAGTTGGACTAAACTTCTTCGCAACTGGTAACGTTGTTTAAAAGTTGTTCTCAACTCGATTTATGTGAATGCTATCGACGGAAGTTTCATCTAAAAAGGTTTCAGCTTAGATGAGCAAAGTGGTTGCAAATGTGCTATGAACCCTTATGGAATCCTCTTTGCGAAGAAGAAATTTATAGTGATATTCATTATTCTGGATACATATCACTAGAATAGAAAAAATAAAGTTGGTTTTGAGTTGCTGAAAAGTGCTTTTTCGTATTCAGCACATTTGATAACGCAGAAGATTTTCTATTTTTGGCAAGATGTGCTTCCAAAAGTTTAGGAAAAATTTTGAAACAACCTGACGTAAAAAAATTTCATGAGAAAATAATATCAGTTTGAAAATTTTTTCTAAACTTTTGAAGGCATCCCTGGCCAAAAATAGAAAATCTTCTGCGTTACCAAGTGTGCTGAAAACCAAAAAAGCACTTTTCAACAACTCAAAACTAACTGTATTTTTTTTCTGATGATATGCTATGCGACACCTGATGAATTTTGGCATAGTTACCCACGGAAAATTTTTTCGATAAAACCGCGGTTAACCGCGGAGTTTCTTGTCTCACTGCGGTTTCTCTGTAGCAAACTATTCTGAAAAACGTGGTTAACCGCGATTTGACTCACCGCGATTTCTTCGATTCAAACTGCGGTTTGAAAACCCGATAAAAACCATAGTTTTGATGACAGTTCAATTTGTCTTCACCACGCTTTTTAATCGCGCAGGAAGATGTCGTATCAGGTGTGTCGCCAGGATAGTCATCTCTAGGAATCCTAGATCTTCTTGGCAGAATGTTGGGAGAAAATTTCTGATTTTTGGAAGTTTTTCTGTCCTTTTTTCCTCAAAGGTCTATTGATTTTCTGATTTTGAACTTCCTTTTCTTAAGCCTTTCTGATTTTCTTCCTTTGAATCTGGTATCCCCGGGCATCTACCACATGTTTCCTGCTTAAAACACTTAGATCGGTAAGATATACCATCAGGTTTGATCGTTGTATGAACAACCCGGGATAGCTCAATAGAAACATGTTGGACAAGCAAATTAAAACTAAGGGGTTCGAATATCACACAATGTATATGAAAGATTGGTGGTTTCAGGTGGACTAACCGCATTACAGCATCACCGCAGTGCAATGGAAGCAACAACCGCGGTGTATGGATGCATTGGTAAGAACAGGGGCAACCGCAATCAGAGCTATAGAAACAAATGTAAATGAAGAAAGAGAGAAAGACAGAAAACGAACAGATAGACTACTGACAATAACATCAGGGAAATCGTTTTTGTAAAAAAGCCGCGATTTCGGCCAGTGTATAAAAACCTATTAAACAATCTGACTCCCGCGGTGTATTTAAACCGGCAAAAGCCGCGGGTTTTCATACATCGGTTAACCGCGCTTTTATTTAAAAAATTTCTCCGTGGGTACTGTGACGTCACAGTAATTTCAGAGAAATAAACTGTCTATCAGCATAAATTGATAGGAGAATATTGCACGTTTCGTTCAGACAAGTTTCTTGGCAGAGAGCTTTCAAAGAATTTTTATTTGCTCATAGCGCTAGCGCATGTTATTATTTCAAGATGCTCAATAGCGCCATCATCGAGTTCTCGTGTTTGTCGGAGAGATTTGACGGTCTTGAATAAGACTTTCAGTATTTTCTGAACATATCCGAGTTTGCTATCCAATGAATCTGAATTCCACATATTTGAGATTAATAACACTTTACATGCAATTGAATTCTGCCAATCCTCAAGTACAGACGCTAGTTAGTAAAACTTGGATTCAGCTTGACTACCTGAATTATTGAGGCAGAGAAAAATGCACTACGAACGAAAGCATTATTAGGGCTACAGTTAGCTTAAATGATTGTACTGTCTTACCTCTAGCCTATACGACTGGCTCAGTCTGATTGGTGAATGGGAGAAAGAGAACTATTTTACATCTTTTTCGACCACTTGAACAAAGTTTTGTGAATTAGCTCCTTAGGTTGCGAATTAACAATATTCCCGACTGTGTGTATCTCATTTGTTCTGAAATCGGCATGTGACCTTTAAACTGATAGTGCACGATTGTTCAACATTGTTCTTAATCTTTGTTGTGCAATACTAATTACTTTCTTAATTTTTTTAAGAAGAGTATGCTACGCCTAGCAACTAAAGTTGTGTGGCGAGGATGCAATGCCATTACATTCGACACATTACGAGCTCTTGGTGAGAAAACTGCTTTCTATCCCATGCTGCCACCTTAACTTCTCTCGTCCGTTTTTCAGCAACGATGCCAATTAAAATGCCATCTTTATCTCCAACGATGACTGAAGGAACAATTATTAAATGGCTAAAAAAAGAAGGCATGTGCTAGTTGTTCCTCTACAATAATTTTGCATTAACAGTCATTTCTATTTTTAGGTGAAGAGATAAACCCCGGTGATGCCTTGTGTGAAATTCAAACAGATAAAGCTACAATGACGCTGGATACAGAAGATGAAGGAATTCTTGCCAAAATAGTGGTATGTGCTCGATCAAAATAGTCTTCTGGTGCCGAGTTTTGTACATATAATCCAATAATAAAGTTGTTTCATACTTTGAAATTGACGTCTTTTTGTAATTTTAGAAAGCTGATAATTCTAACGATGTTAAAGTTGGTGCGTTAATTGCGATAATGTGTGATAAAGAAGAAGATTGGAAAAATGTTAAAGTACCCGAAACTGAAGCTAAAGCAGCTCCAGAAGCAAAAAGTATACCAGAGCAGAAAGACGGTAAACAACAACAACACAACATAGAAAAACAACAAAGTGAACAGTCAAAAGAACAGCAACGAACAGCATCGCAGTATATATAAAGCTTCTATGACGCTTTTTTAATATCAAACAAGTTTTTTCATTTAGTCATATGATAGGACCAGCTGCTCGGACATTAATGGAGCAATATGGAATTGATTCATCAAAAATACAGGGATCTGGTCCAAAAGGAGTTATCATGAAAAGGTAATATTTTCTTGTCATATAAAGTGATAGTTACGAATGGAGAATCCGGTGTAAAAATTTGTAAATGTTAGGGGTAGATACTACTTAGTGATTTTTATTATCATACGTCTGTTTTATCACTTTTCTTAATTATATTCTTAAGTGATGTTCAAAAATATATTGACTCTAAACAGTTGAAAATCAAATCTCATACTCAACAGGATGAAAAACAACAAAAATCAGAAGAAAAGAAGAAATCCAGCGAACAAGTAACTCCAATACAACAACAGAAATCAAAACCACCTAGTTCATCGACATCTCAAGGACGTCGTTATCATGATGTTGAATTATCGTCAATTCGCAAAGCAATTGCAAAACGTTTGACGTATTCAAAAACTTCTATACCTCACCAATATGCTAGTATATCGTCAAATGTCGATCGCGTATTACAGTTAAGAAAACAGATGATCGCCGATCCAAAAGCAATTACAAAAGTATCTGTTAATGATTTTATTATCAAAGCAGTGGCATATTCATTGAGAGTAAGTTCAAAAAAGTTCTCTTGTTTGAGGTGTTGCTTATGAAAATATGCTGTGTTGTAATTTGGAAATGTTTTTCCAATTAAAATGTGTCAGTCTAATGAGGAGTCTAGTAAACAGGTTTTGTAGTTTTTGAATACTTAAACATTTCACAAAAATTCTAATTTTCATCTATTTCTTGTATTAGCAAGTTCCACAAATGAATGGTATATACGAAAATGATAACTTAAAATTACACTCCACTGTTGATATTTCCGTTGCTGTTGCTACTGACTCTGGTCTCATTACACCCATTGTCTTTAATGCTGATCGTCGCACTCTGAATGATATCAATCTTAATGTTAAAAATTTGGCTGTCAAAGCTCGTGAAGGCAAATTGAAACCGAATGAGTTTCAAGGTGGCACATTTACAATATCTAACTTAGGAATGTTTGGCATATCACATTTTTCAGCTGTTATTAATCCACCTCAATTAGGTATTTTAGCTATTGGTAAAAATGATCTACAGTTGAATGAACAATTAAAAGCGGTGAATAAATTAAAAGTAACTTTATCGTATGATGCACGAGTTTGTGATCCAGCAACAACTGCTCTGTTCTTACAAGCATTCCAGTCTTATATGGAATATCCAGAAATGTTAACAAAAGGAAAAACAGAAACGATTTTTGACTTTTAGTCTTATTGTAAGAGCGTGAACGTCTTCTATGTAGATAGATTAGATCAAATGAGTTAACCTCTTCGTCACTTTTTATGTATCTATGAGAGAGAATCGAATATTTTTCTCAAAAGTTCTGTCCTAGTGAGACAGACGTATAATTTTTCGTTGCAATCCGCAGCAACACGAATACTTGTTTTTTATTTTGAATCGATTATCTCAGAGCAACCATTCTAAGACAAAGATAATTTATATCCTTCAATGGTTGCTGAAACATAAAACAAGTGACATGGTATGACGTAACGTTTTCGTGGTATATATTTCTATATTGCCCGGAAAAAGTAATATTGTACTAAAGCTTTTTCTTTTGTAATGCAGCTTTCGTTTTTTAGTTGATTCTATATCATGCTGTTTTATATTTTTCTAGATCGATTCCGTTAAGGTGTCACTATATCGTTTGTGTTGAGTGCAAAAGTGTAAGTGACAATAGAAAAAGAAAATGCAGTTTGATATACGAAGGTAAGATTAATTAGATAAGTTAATCGAACAAATGTTTATCAATTTCTCTTTCTTGTTTAGATTCGATATCTATCGTAAAGTACCGAAAGATTTAACACAACCAACGAATACGGGTGCAGCAATCTCAATATTTTGTGTTACATTTATTTCAACATTATTATTAATTGAGTTATATTATTTTGTTAGTCCAGACGTGTAAGTAAAAGATATATCTAAACGCTTTCTAGAGTTAATTGAACTTAGTTTCGTTAATGTTCTATTAAATAAGTGTTATTAAAAACTTTTTCTAGTTTAAAATTATATTTATGCTGTTATTGTTATGCTTTACTTATAGTGTGAGTGACTTATTTGTCGATACACCATCAGGTGATGCTAACGAGCGAATTCCTGTTCATTTGGATGTTAGTGTGCTAAATATAGCTTGTCAATGTACGTGTATGATCTAATTTTATATATAGAAAAGAATATTATCTCTTTCCTTTTAGACATTGGAGTTGATATACAAGATGATTTGGGTCGTCATGAAGTTGGCTTTATTGACAATACAATGAAAACACCTGAAAATAATGGACAAGGATGTCGAGTTGTTGCTTCATTCAAAATAAATAAAGTAAAGTTCTATCATCTATTAATTTATTGTTTACAATTTTCACTTATACCATTAAGGTTCCTGGTAATTTTCATTTATCGACTCATGGTGCAGCATTACAACCTGAAAAAGGTGACATGAAACATGTAATACATGATTTAAATTTTGGTGATTCTATCAAGGTAAGTAAGAGGTAAGATTTTGTCTATTAAGAACTGAATGATGTTTACCCTTATATTTTATTAGGGTTTTCGACGTATACCAAATAGGAGAGCATTTCATCCATTACGTCGTTATAATAATACACATAGACCAAGTAAGTCAGTTTTTCATCTTTTCACTTTCATTTCAACTCAACATCATTCTTACATATCATAGGTGAAGTATCTCATGATTATTTGATGAAAATTGTGCCGACAATTTATGAAAATTTAGCTGGAACAAGAAGATATCCGTATCAATTTACATTTGTTTATCGAGTATGTTTTTTTTTTGAGTATGAAGATCATACAAACGTACCGGAAGAGTTGGATCTTACCAATTATCCGAGGATGATAGTGCAGACAAACAATTCTATTACGTTTAGACTAATTTTTTTTCTTTTTAGGAGTATAATCCGTATCAAGCCCATCAAGTTAACGTTGTCCCAGCTGTATGGTTTCGCTACGATTTGATACCAATTACAGTTAAATACACCGAACGAAGGCCAAAACTTTATACATTTATCACATCGGTGAGCAGTCGTTGGTATATAAGAAGCTAGGAATATGTAACATGTTTTTTTCATCACTTTTTCAGATATGTGCTGTGGTTGGTGGAGCGTTTACTGTTGCTTCGATTCTCGATTCATTAATATTTAGTGCTAGCGAATTATTTAAAAAGTTTGAATTAGGAAAAATGACTTAAAACTAGTTCTATTGTTGTTGAGGTTTTAGTTCTGTTAGATTTGATATAAACCCGCATATTCTCAAATCAAACATATACTTTCAATTTTTTCTCTTTTCAAATCTCTTACTAGACAAAAGAAAACACGAAATAAAAAGTTAATCACTGATATTCTTTTGTTATTGTTATTCTATATTGCGTGTTAAAATTTACTTTCGTTTTTATTGTTGTTTTATGCTCAAAAATTTCGGACTGATGAAATTGTTCTTTTTGTTTATTTGTTTTCGGATATTTATTATTGTATTTTTCTCAAAATAAAACAGATTTTTAATTATCAAAAGAAAAATTCCATTTTTCATCAGTTAGTTACTGCGAAAGTCATCAGACGAAAATTGATCTAATTGATAATTTTATTAAAATTTTAGACTTTTAGGGAAGTATTATGTGAAATTATTAATTTGCATTGTATAAGCATTTCATTCTGATAAATAGCGCTCTTATAATGCAGTTTCCATTGTCTCTTGGATTTGTACAATTTATTTTTTGACTTTCAGCTTATTTCCTAAATAACTAACTATTATAACTTATTAAATTTACAACGATAATTTTGAGTTATTAATTTATCAATTAAACCAAAACAATATCAGTTTTCTACAAGGGGTGAGCAACGATTAGATAATGTTGTGTTACTGTAATAGGAAAATTTTCGAGTACCAGTTATACAGTTTTTCTGATCTTTCGAGATATCTGTTCATATAGTTTTACTCAATTTTTTCTTGAATTTTCTGATTATTCTTTCAAGAAAATATCAAATTCTTTTTATACTACCGATGTTCATTTTGATTTCAAAGGATTATTATTTTCATCAGAGCTAAATAAATGTGTAAGAAAAATTGAGTTACAGTCCTATAGTGAGTTTTCAACAAGTTAGATTTTTCACTTAGTAGTGTGTTTTAAATATCCATTCGTCTGTCTTCTAGAAACTGATATTTTCAATTTCCAAAATTTTTCTCAAAAATTAGGAAAAACGGTGAAAATTAATTTTCTCGACTTAATTGACTTAATTCTTCTTGAGCATTAGAAACAAAATCAGAAACGATTCTAGAATACTTCGTCTATTTACGAACAAGAAAATTATCCAGATTTGTATTACAAATAGGAGAGAAAAAAAATTTCCATAATAGAAAAAGTTCCGAAAGCTGTGTCCTTCGTGTAACGAGTGTGCAGAAAACCGGCTAAGATCCAATTTAAGTCAAACTTTGGGGAAATCTTACTCTATATGTACTGCGTTCATTAAATTAGCGCAAAAGATGCGCGACCTTTTCTGGATCGTACAGTAGATTTTCAAAATCTAGTTTATCACGTAAAATCGACCGCTTCCAGTCAAAATGTATCTTTTAACAAAAATCAATGGTATATTCGGAATCAGTGTATCGTGTTGCATCGAACTATGTATAAGACAATAGGTTTTGGCTCGAAAAAATATCTATTAAAAATTTTTCCCATCAACCTTCAAGATCGATTCTTCGAAAAAAGTGGAAACGTTTATTTGAAAAATGTTCATTATGTACACTATATTTTTGTCTATTCAGTTTTTTTCTGATAACATTTAAAAATTATTTTCTCACTATGATTAATAAAAATAATAGATGTAAAAGTCTAAACTAGATTCTAAATAAATGGACATCTTGTTAATCATCTGCATCTAATATGTATTTTGCTAACCCCGATAATTTTTGATAGATACCTGTTCGAAAACAAAACTTATCGGTTCTGTTCGAAAACAAGGCGTGTAAAATCTCTAGAGTAACGTAAAATTTTTAAAAGAAAGAAAGATCACCTATACTAGATTTATTGTTGTGATAATAGCTGGGTATTCGATGAAGCGGTTACATGCTTTTTTTGATAATAATTTCTAGAGATGGTTATTAAAATTTTCATAGATCTGAATATTCTAGAGTAAAAAATCAACTACTCAGTTGCTATTTTTAGAGAAGAAACAAAATGAATCTACTTCGTTGGTTTCTCAATTCACGTGTCTACAAGTGAAAAACGATGTTTTCATCGTTTCATCATCAGTCATTTAACGCATATTGTTGCGGTCATCACATGTAGTGAAAGTCAGGAGAAAATCTCCGTATAATTGCAATTAATCAGGTAATGAATCGTGTGCTCAATTTCCAGTAAATCGTGGATATTTCAACGATTTGGTCAATTCCCCGCGAATAATCCGTATGGCTAACAGTTATTTCCATATATGTTTACGTATGAGAAGTTTTAGTAACTCAGTTCGAAGTACTGTACAGCCATCTGTTACTATTCTAAAAATAAGCAAAATTTCCGCTTTATTGATTTTATAAAATTTCAGAACTATTTTTCCTGATTCATCATGAAAAACTGACTGTAAAATGGCAGATTTGGTCGAATTTAAACTTTAAATGACAAAAAAAGCTCTTGAAACACGATTGGTATCCTTGGAATAAGTACTGCCCATCTTCTGATTATATTTAGTTTTTTGGTTAAAAGACTAAGCATTCTTTCCTGTTTCATTTAAACCGCTACATACGTGAGAAAAAGTATCAGTTTTAGAAAATGTTGAGTTTTTTATGAAATTTTACCTTCTCGTCTTACGTCGTTAATCGGAAAGAATGCGTTTTTTCTGAATAGAAGAAAATGCAAAAAAACCATTTATGTTTAAATAACGCTATGAAATGTTAATCATTATAATAAAGGAAATGACTTCAAGGAAATACATGCCAGATGTTATAGATGGTAAACAATTTAATTGAAAAAAATTATTTTTTGTAGTCTTAGGTTTGTTATAAATTACAACAATGTTTGATTGTCTTAAAAAATTTCGACATGAAAGTAATATTTAAATAATGGTGTATGAATTTGTAACTAATTGAGAGTCGAAGCGGATGTCTGTGCAGAGTGATTATAAAACGTGAATAGAACAGTGGTAGTAGTGGCAGAAAATTCAATGATTCATTTTTTTTGTATTATTGATTGACTTGGTGCATTGATGGTAGATTTTTATGTTCACTGTGAAAATTTCTTGTTTATATTTCTATATTGTTGATTTTTCTTACACCTTGACGACAAAATTTTATAATATAATTATTCGAGAAAATCAGGAAACAATGGTATGCAACTTGTGATGCTGAAGTAATAACAAGAAAATAAATGATCTATATACTTTAAGCATATTATATTAGTATCACGGGAGTAAATTTTATTATATTCTTTCGCACAGCGTGTATATTATAATAAATACAAAAAAAGATGAGTATGATCAGTTAAAAATATTCTCTTTTTCTTTTTTTTACTCGCTTCGTTAAACAAGATATTAATCCTTCAAGCACTAAATTACTAAATAGTATAGTTTCTTTGATGATTTTTTGTACAATATTACGGATACTGAAAATTTCCATTTAGAATAAATATTCATCAATGAATTCTAACAAAAACTTTGTCGTTGCTAAAATCATAAAAAAATCAAACAAAAGTCTCTCTGCATTGAAATTACACAATAAAAGTTATTTAATATACGCAAGATTTCAAGTCACTTCATAAATTGTCCCCATTGACTTCTAATATATAGTGGACGACACAAAACACCATGAAAGTTTATATAAAATTGTGTCATTTCTATTCGTGTATTTATACGATATAATCTTTAATACCCTCTCGAAAAGAATCTGACCTCTTTTTTCAGAAAACAACAGATGCTGTATAGTGGAAACTAATACAAAAACAAATGAGTGTCTAATTAAAAACTAGTGGTAATTTACCGAGAGTATATCATCAAAAACTCATTAAGATCCAGCTCAATAATTTTGTACTTTATTTTCATATTAGTTTTTCTTCGTTGTAACTTGTAATAAGTTGATAGGACGGATTGTTTGTTACAGATGTAGACACTCTTTGTGGCACACTTTGTTTGACGATCATTGATAATGGTGATGGTGGTGGTACGACGGTCACTAATACTTCTTGTTTAATTAATTTTGTTAATTGTAATGGTCGATTAAAACAACAACAACACTGGAATAACTTCAAAAATTCACGACGAAAATCAGAACCGCTCAGAGTATATAAAATAAAATTAATTGCATGTTTTGTATACCAAAGGCTCTCAAGTATATCGACTGTAAATAATTTTGCGGCGGGCATCATGCTTTGTGTTGAACTACCACTATACATTATTTTGTTAACACAAATGTAAATGACTGATGGACATGTTAGACACAGAAATACGCAGGTGACGGACAATAACATCACAGTTAGACGTTGATGTCTGCGATGTGATTGTTTTCGTATAACTCCCCGACGTTGTAATGCTCTATTCGTTCTCATTGTAAATACAATGATACTAAGATTTGAAAAACATAACAGGAGAAATGGAACAGCAGCTACGAGTAAAATGTCAAATATAGGAATATAGAGACGAAAAAATTGATCAAAATCATCACGAGCAATACAAACAAAACGTGTCTCATTTTTAAGTGGTATGTATAGTTGAGATAACGATGCAGAGGTTTCTTCATGCGAACTGGAATCAAATGATAATGATGAATAAGCAGTGAGATTAAACTGACTGAGTTTAGATCGATCGATCCGAGGAAACGTCATCGTTTTACCTGAAATAGAGAAAAGAGAAAATCCATATAGATAATACTGACGGTGTAAAAAATCTAAATTAAATTCATAAACTTGACACCATATGGTACTTAACTAATTCTTTGTTTATAGAAAGCATCCCTGAGTTACTAAGAAAAAAGTTTACCAAATTTCCACATTTCATATAGTTCGGACTGATATTAATTCACGTCAGAGGATGAGTTTTGGAACGATCATTTTAATCAGATTCATCATCAAGATACGCTCTTCGCTGATAGAATTCAAGACAAAATTCTCTTAAAATGATCTATAAACATGTTAATAATAATCTTGTTATATAAGAAAGATTTGAGCTAGTTAAATTCATTTTGACAGGGACATGTATAGTTTTGACACCTAATTGACACATGCTTCTCTATACAATAGTGTCACCTGGCTGCATCAACAACAAATTATTTTTGTTATTGTGTAATAGAACCCTGCATAAAAGAATGTTCACATTCTATTTGTTCATTTCAGAATTTTCAAGTGAAAATTTTCTGTCATTTTTATGCTTCGATATTCCGTTTTATATTTAAAATACAATACGACACTAATGACAGTATTTTTAAGAAAACTAAATACTGTCAGTGACTATTAGTTCTCTTAGCAAGAGTGCGTGAGTCAAAGATGTATATAGGAACAGTTTTATAGTCAACAGGTTAATGATTTCTTTGGAAAAAACTGGTGAATAGAGATAATAATCATAATTTTGACAGATAACGCATTCCTCTATGAAATCAGTTTCGTTTAGAGTTTGGTGATGGTTCAGGTTAACAAACTCAAATTTTGACAAATATCACTAACGTTTTATGCAGAATTTATGGAAAAAATCAGAAAAAATCAAAAGCGAACTGTTTGAAAGTCATATATTTTATTATACTCAATTCATAATGTATTGAGAAAGATCTATAACATGAAATAAAATATCTAAAATAGTCACAGTGAAAAACAACTTACCTAATATAAAGAAATAATGTGCATTGAAAAAACAAACAACAATAATTAAAATCATTGTTGATAACAAGACTCTATGATCGACTGAACGTCTTCTATATCGATTTGTAATAATTAAATATCGATCAAAACTAACGACAACCAATATCCATGAAGCTATGTGAGATAAAGCTGAACTGAAGAAGATAAATATTCGACATATCCATTTTGATGTATTTCGTAAATCAACACTAAAAAAATATCTATATAAGTAACGTGATGATCTTGTATAAATAAATAGAATATCGATAACGGCTAACACGGCCAAATATTGACAAGTGGAATTTTTTAAAAATTTTTTTCTTAATAATACTTTTAAGCATAAAACGTTTCCAACGGTACCCCAGACAACAAGAAATGGGTAATAATATCGTGTAAGTAATGTTCGAAATTCTGCTGCTGAATCATCATTCGATTGGACACCGTAATCAACAGCATTATCTAACGCTGAGTCAATAAATATGTTGCTACTACTGTTCATTGTCTATCATTTCAATATTCATTGATATTTGCAAGAATAATATGGTCAAATAATCGTATTTATTCTGAAAATAAGAAGAAGATGACGAAGTATGTGATGATCATTAGTACCGTCACGTAGTTATTTATCCCTATTGAGATTTGAAATAAGATGCTGATGAAGACTACGTCTTTATTAGACCAATTGTATGTGTAGGAAAGTTCTCTTGTGGAAAAAGAAAGAAAATTTGATATTGTATATATTATGTAGTAATAGATTGAAATCTATCACTATATGAAATCTATTACTATATATTTAACTAAACTTTATTAGATTTCTTTTATTAATCAACGAAGAGTTTAAATTTATTAGTTATTATCATATTTTTCAGCTTACTCATTTGGGATTTATCTATTGTGATTAAAGGATTTTAATATGGAAAACTCAACGGAAGTTACAAAATTTTGTATTAAAGAAAAAAACCTAAGTGAACATTTTTGGTATTTTTTTTTGTACTATAACTGGTAAGCACAAAACATTTTGTAGTATAGATATACCATAAATGGCTTATTTCTCTCGTTATACATTGTTGGAAATATCAGATAGTGTTTAGAACGAGTACGTTACACTATATGAAGATCAATTTTGATCTAAGCTTTATTTTGCTAAAACTGAAAGGTTGTTTGATAATGAGGACATAAATATTACGCTAAAAATCAAAACAAACTGGCTACAACGTTCATTATCCGATACAATTGATCTGATTCGTAAGACGATTATCGTTCAGAAAAATCAAACAATACAATATATTCATACAGCTGAAAAATTAGAGCTAGTAGTTCTATTTACAAAATAAAATCCCTGTATCAATACGCAATTACTCAAATTTCTGGGAAATGTGATTGGACGTTCTTTTCAGGTCCACTGCCAATTCTTGGATATTCACTTCAAGAACGAAAGAAGAATACGATACAATAGTCAATAATTGCTACTCTTATAAAATTGCTCCCACATCAAATAACTTCAACATGTTGAAGTCATTTGATGTGGGTGATGATGGAAGACAAGGAAGAAACAAAGTTTCTCAAAACAACGTTCTATCTATTTTTCTTTCTACTGTCATTTTCAGTTCATATTTTGATGGTATTAGTGACTGTGAATAGAGCATAATAAAGAAAATGTATAATAAATCAAGTTTTACTTATTTCTATGCCTCTAAATTGACCTTCTGAACTTTAATTATGATTACCAATGGTGAAGTAAACTATGGCTCGCTTCTTGAAGAATTATTATTAGATTCCCCGTTAGAAAACATTTTTTACTGATACAGAATATTTTTTAACTGACTGAAGTTATTGTGAAAAGCTTCTGAATATGTCACTGCAGAGTATATGGTTAATGGAGGCAGTTACCCACTTTCTTTTTTAGCCACAAAAAATATCGGCGGATAACTTTGATTACAAAAAAAAAATTTCTCACCTAAGAAAAACGCTCGATAATAACAAAGCAAATATCTTTGCACGAAATGAGATCGATGTTCCCAACATTTTCACGACATCTTTTCATCAAACTGCATCCAACTGACGAAAAGCCTTAGATCATTGAAATTAGCAAAGTTGATACAAAAAAGCAACAAACGATACCTTTCATAGGTCGAGGGTAGTTTGATGGAAGAGTATTGTAAAAATCTTCGAGACATTTCCTCTATTTGACTCACGAGGGAAGTACCCCAACTGATAGATCGCTTTTTGAACGACACCTAGTGGGCTGTAGGTAGTCAACGATGCTGATTCCGAATATCACCATGACTGCTGCTGCTAGGCCTTCAAAGACCGGTTTTCTGGAAAACCAGTTTTCGAGAAACTCTAAAGAACAACCAAAAGCTTTCTTAATGAGGCGTAATTGTAGTCGATACTTTTCTGATTAAAACGAGGCATCTGCCAGCTCTACACGATCTTTCTTTGCAAGGTTATAGAGTTTACAAGAAAAGCCCTAAATTCCTTTTTCCTTCTGTAGCTCTCAGGTAACAATGAACATTTAGGGCTTTTCTTGTAAACTCTATAACTTTGCAAAGAAAGAACCTGCAGAGCTGGAAGATGCCTCGTTTTAATCAGAAATGTATGAACTACAATTACGCCTCATTAAGAAAGCTTTTGGTTGTTCTTTAGAGTTTCTCGAAAACTGGTTTTCCAGAAAACCGGTCTTTGAAGGC